TTAAGGCAGAGAGTGCATTTCTTGTTTTTTTCAGTGGCGCCATCTACTTCAGTTACACACATGTCACAGCCCATTTTACAAGCCGGACCGATTCATGCTCCATTCATTCATCCACAGATCGTAATTTTGACCTGAACTGGAGAGCGATCAATTTCCAATTCAATACTCCCAGAGGTATTGATTTGTTAAGGGAACTTTGAGGACTATGGGATCCCGGCAGATTTAACGTGCACAATCACCATTTAATATACTTGGATTCCTTGCTGGTGGAATTCGAACTCCTTTTCTCACGAACACTATCCCAACGTCCTACCAACTATCCTGCCCCTGTCTCTCATTTATGCAAAGGGTAACTGCAAGTTTTTTTTACAGTGCAAACATGCCTCTTCACTGAAAATTGAAGCATAGAGCCTCGATTATTGCTTTCCATCTTACTCGATATTAGACTTAGACATTTTACCTCCTTCCATATTTCTCCAACTACTTTCAGTTCATTGATACTTCGACAATTTGTTTTCACCTTCTTTTTTTTCTGTAGTCTTGGGGATAACTATTAAAATCTTGTTTTCTTTAAGTTTCGTAGATTTACAGAGGCTATGACTAATCCATTTCTGCTTCTTAATTTCAAGTTTGGTTGGTATTTTATTTGTGGCTCTAAGAATTTCTGCGTTACAAATTTTATGAGATCTATCGATGCATTGGGTTTTTCTAATACAGTTGTTGATAAATACTTAGAGTTTTTTTTTCTTCTTTTTTATTGCAGTTTCCAATCCAAAGAGAAGGGGAAAAAATATTTCCCGCAGTATTCGAGATTTAAAGTTTAAAAGAAAGTACTGGACTCGCATTTTGTTTGTGAGCTATTAACTTTATTACTTACTGAAAGAGGCTCGTAAAGTTTTCTTTTTTATATTTTGATTTCCCAAAAGCCCCCGTGGATTTACATTTTCTCTCTTGCACTATAAGAAACGTAAATTAACGTTTTTACCATTCTGAGACACGTAACACTGCGCATCGTTCTTGCATTGGTTACTTTTTTATTTTTATGGTCATTAAATTTTGTTCTTGCTGTTATTATAGCACATTCATGAGAAAAATGCGAATAAATCCGTCCTAAAAATTGAGATGATTTGATAGAATTGCATCAGAAAAACCCGAAACATATTGAAATCATATCAATTCATCCATTGATAATTAAGCATTTTTTTGTGCTTATTTAATGCAAAATATATTAATACAATATCAAATGATCACAGTATATATGGATCTAATGAATCGATATTTTACTGTCATCACATGATTTAAAGTATTTTAGTAACTCATAGGTTATTTTATAACTGCCATGATTTTTCTTTTTTATCATTTATTCAGGACCGTCAGGTTAAGTTTCGACTATGCTATGTCAGTGCCCTCTATACGATTAAAGAAAACTGCACAGAATGTCAAGATTAAGAATAACACCAACTACGTGAAAATGAACAGCGTTCGTAACTTAATTTTTTAATTTTTGAAAAATTTCTCCAGCGCTGCATTATTATCTGGGCTCATAAAAAATTGTAAAATAAGAGAATAATTCATTGATTTTAATGACATTTATCAGATGGAAAATTCTATAATGACTATTTTTATAATGGCCTTCATATAAAAATAATTATTATAAAATTTTCGACCTGATTAAAGACATTAAAATCGATTTAATAATTCTCACCTTTTACAAATTTTTATGCGCCCTAGATAGAACGTTCACCTTCCAATGGGGTGAATCGGGTTCCAATCATTCGATGTGATTCAGAAAGCGTTTTAGCTTTGTTTTTCTTGGTTAAATATTAATTTGCGTCCCCCTATTTGTATACGTTGGTAAGGATTCCAAAAACACATATTAAGGGTGGTATTTTCGGAACACTATATAAATTTTAAAATTTTGACTGCTTCAAGTCTAAGCACTAAAAATGATTTCTTTTAAGTTGCCCAGCGAAAGAACTTTAATATTTGTATACGTATAACCCTATTTGTATACGTTGGTAAGGATTCCAAAAACACATATTAAGGGTGGTATTTTCGGAACACTATATAAATTTTAAAATTTTGACTGCTTCAAGTCTAAGCACTAAAAATGATTTCTTTTAAGTTGCCCAGCGAAAGAACTTTAATATTTGTATACGTATAACCCTATTTGTATACGTTGGTAAGGATTCCAAAAACACATATTAAGGGTGGTATTTTCGGAACACTATATAAATTTTAAAATTTTGACTGCTTCAAGTCCAAGCACTAAAAAGGATTCTTTTTAAGTTGCCCAGCGAAAGAACTTTAAAAAGCACATTCAACATTTTTAGTGCAATGCCGTTCATTCAAAATATTATAGATTAGAAAGTTTCACGAAAGCAATGAATTTTACTTAATCCAAACAATGTATTCATTCTTAAAATAATTAACGGAAAATAAATCTAATTCCCTTCCGCCTATAAATTATGTAATTGAATGCGTTAGAATCAAAATATATAAATTCTTGAAATATTATATCCAATTCATTAATTTCGAACATAAGACGCGTTCAAGTAGGTACTTAATGCTCGAAAGATATGTCAAACAATGATTTTATTAATCCACACAGTTTCTAAATGCTTTTGAAAGACGCTCACTAGACTTTCAAGTGACAAGTTTTTGAAAAGCAAGGAATGGTGAGCTTTTATTTTAATAACGTTAACGTTTTCGTTACGATTAATTAATGATTGCGCACAGACCGTGCTTCTGCGCCAACTGGCGATATTCTAATTATTCTGAAACCTATCGTCACTGTAAGCTTTGAATAATTCAAAGGAAACGTACGTCTCTTTAATTTAAACGTCTTTACCTGTTTGGATATTTTATATCCCAAAGAGCAACTGGGAAGTCGAAACTTCACTAGGTTTTTAATTAGATTTTATGCAGGCATTGTTCTATATAAGATTCTGTCCATGACACTCACAAAGAATGTAATTAACTCTCTTCTCTCTTGTACTTCGATTTATTTTGATTTTTATTCTACATTAACACGTTTCTTGGAGATAAAAAGGAATTAACCTTCACTTTTTTATGGTATTGCGGAATATTATTTCAGTTAGTACTCTGAAATCATAAATATGAATTTGTACTCTGGAATCACATTCATGAATGTGTACTCTGGAATCACATTTATGAAAGCCCACTTTGGAATCACACTTATGAGAGCATACCTTGGAATCGTACTTATTGAAGCACACTCTGAAATTCACTTTTATGAATGCTTACCCCGGCATCACTTTTATGAATGCGTATCCTCACTTTTATGACTGCATACACTGACATCACTTTTATGAATGCATACCCAGGCATCATTTTTATGAATACATACCCAAGCATCACTTTCATAAATATGTACCATGGGATCACATTTATGAATGCGTATCCTAGAATCACATTTATGCATGCGTATCCTAGAATCACATTTATGAATGCGTGTACTAAAATCACATTTATGAATGGGTACCAAGGAATCGAATTTAGGAAAGTGCATTTTACAACAAAATAGTAAAGCTATGATTAATTGTAAACTTAATTATCAATAATTATTTTTTAAAAATGAGTAAATTTTTTAAAAATATAATTAGATGATAATTATAGTTTACAATTTATTTTTTAAAAAAAGCGATTTTAATTTATTTTAAGAATAATTAATATTTAATGCTATTTAAACAGAAAATTATTGATTTCTGTTATAATTTAAATAGAAAATTACCGATATTAATTCAAGTTTAATCGAAAAATTATCGACATATGTTAATTTTTAATGAAAATGATTAAAACTTTTTACAATTTACCGGAATATTTATTAAGAGTTACTCAAAAAATGGTAAATACTTATTGAAATTCATTTATAAATTGATCAACATCTACATTTTCTATGACTTATTGCAAAATAATATTTTTTAAAGGTGAGCAATACTTTTTATAGTTTAATAAAAAAATACTCAATATTTTTGTTACTATTTCATAAAAAGTTTATCACTATTAATTATGTTTCATCAGAAAAGCAGTACTCGGTCTGTAAAAAATTGCATTCGAGTGATTAATTTTTGCTAACTATTCTCTTTTAACAATTATTAACAGGGGCTGTTTTTAGCAGTTGTTTATTGCATTGCATAATTTCACCCGATTTCCTCATTTGAAAAAAACCTATAAGTTTAAAATTGAATCAAAAACAAAATAACTGTTTTGGTTGGGAGTTTACTTCATGAAATTTGTTTTCATTTGATGAATTTGAAATTCAACTTTAGGAAATGCTGTGCGAAATATTTCAAATTTTTGCGATTTGCAAAACACCATAGTTTTACTTCGGCAATATTCGGCTATCATTTATCGATATATGGTGAAAAATATCGCATTGAAAAAATATCGTTTTGACAGATCTGTAAAGCAATAGGATTATAAGTGTGAAAAAATGAATAAAACAAAACTGCTTTTATTATTCATTTTTCTTTGTTTTCTTCTCACATTTCCACTTTACGGAAGAAGAAAAAATAATTAGTACACTAAAGAAATATAAGTTTTTTATAAGCTATTCAACAACAAGTAAAAGTTTCTTATAATTTATGGAAAAAAAAGCAAACAATCGTTGATTATAAGAGTAAAAAAATAATTAGAGTAGAAAAATAATTAGAGTAAAACTGCTATCATTATTCATTTTTCTTTGTTTTCTTCTCATACTTCCACTTTACGGAAGAAAAAAAAGAATATTTAATTTTCTTACAATTTATACAGCAACAAGTTTAAGTTTCTTATAATTTATGATAAAAGAATCAAGCAATTGTTGATTATAAGAGTAAAAAAAAAATAGAACAAAACTGTTATCATTATTCAATTTACTTTAATTTCTTCTTATATTTCCACTTTACGGAGGAAGAAAAACAGTTAGTATATTTAAAAAAAAAAAATTTATTTTGTTTCCGTACAATTAATTGATTTTTTCTTTCTTTAATGAATAGTTGCTGATTTTACCCATCAACTGTCTTCTATTCACGAACAACATGCAGAGGAGCTTCAAATGTTGGTAGAAACATTTAGAAAAAGAAATGCTGAGCTTCGGAGAGAAAGGTAACATTTTCTCATTGATAACATCATTTTTATTCAATAAAAAAATGTCATACAGAACAGAAAAAAAATATCAGTTATTTAATTAAATCATATTTTTTTCATTTTACTAATTTTTCTAGTAGGTATATAGCAAAATTAACGGTCACTACCGGCCAGGCCTGCCAGTCGCTACATTTTTGTTAAAATGCACCCCATGTTATTGTTTTGAATAAATATGGAATTATTATGCGTATTTCAAAATGTTCTGCACTATACGTTATTTCACGCTTGTTTATTAAAATGTTTCCTCATTTTAAAAATGAACCTTTGTAATGTTCAGTATAGTACACTGGTGTGACAAAATTAAGGACGAAGGGGCTTTTCGAATGTAAATTTGAACAGCAGTGTTGAAAATCGATTAAAAAAACATACCATAGGATCCTTAAAATATGAGAATATGAAAAAGTAAGCAACTTGCAAAAAAAATTGTAATCTACAGTAACAATAATGAACTTTATAGGCTTAAAACACAAGTGTACAAATGACCAAAACTTCAATATTACATGAGATTGCCAAGGAAATTTCATCCTTAAGGGGTATGATCACCTCTGACTGCAATGCAGGATTGACATCATCTGCCCATGCTGAGGAACAGGTGGCTAAGGAACTCTTGAGGAATTGCTGCCCATTCCCGTTGTAGTGCTAATCGCAACTACGTAATTGTTGTTGGTGGCTGGGGACGTGCTGCCAAGCGTCTCCTTAGAGTGCCCCACACATAATCAATCGTATTAAAATCCGGGAACCTCGCCGGTATTCCATGCGTGCAATATCTTCACTCTCCAACAGTTCTGTGACTGCCAATGTGCAATTATCGTCCATGGAGATTAACTCAGAACCCACAGCACTTCTAAAAAGATCCATACAAGAACTCCGCCTACCTGAAAATCGGCTTTCCATGATGTTAGAGAGGTTATTGCGTGTTCCCTGCTCTCTCCAGATGTGCATGCGTCCAGAATCACTGGTCAGACTAAATCTGCTCTCATCCGTAAGGAGTACTCGACCCCATAGCACATCTGGTCACTTGTTATGTTCCTGGCTCCACATAAAACGGAGTCTCCGATGAACTGGCGTTAATGGGACACATCGTACTGGCCGTCGTGCAAATAGATCACCCTTCTGGTCAGAGTAAAAACCGATGCCTGGAGTCTAGTACTTTACTGTGTATGCCTAGTGATTTTTTCTGCTACCAGCCGTCTGTTCCTTCAAGCCTGTTGAACAATCCTCACCCGTTGTCGTGGTTGTGCAAGGACGACTTCTACTAAACCTCCGGACAGCTGTTTCTGTCCCCTGGAATATGTTCCAAGCTCGTGAAACGATACTGTAGGTGAACTCCACCTTCGAACGTCGCACTTCGATCTTCTTCCCATTTCCCAATGATTCGAACTCGCATAAACTCATTCAGATGCCGTCTCCCGTGTTGTCGGTTGGCCATATCCACCGTGGCAAAAAAATTTACTTCGTTTAAACTGGTGTACACTGTGCAATACCATTTAAATAAATTCTGAACTTCCACCTCCAGCTCGTTTTATTTCCTTACGACACGCCCCCCGTTACGTCATGGTGCATATATGCAAATTTTCTACTTTACCTTACCGTAATTGGTCTTCTCAATGACCTTTCCTTCCGTTGTAACTGCCTGTTTTGTTGTTATGCTAGTTTTTCCTTTTCGTCCTTAATTTTTGCACAGAAGTGTACTGTGAGATATACTTAAAAAATGCCTTACATTTTTTACAATTGACCGTTTTTTTAATCGTTTCAATTTTCGAGTGTATGGAAAATTGTTAAAACTGATCACAATCCAGTAGCAAAATTACTTAATTTTATACTAGTGGCTCCCAACCAGGTAGAAATTAACTTCTTTTATGCATATTTCTTTTTATCTTCGGAAATACAGTGCTTTTTTTAAAACTTTGATGAGTTATATTTAAATTAGAAATTAAATCCTGATTCTGTTTTAATTTTTATTTTTTTAATAAATAATGAATTAAATAAAATAAATTAAATAAAGCTATTTTAATTAATGAATAGTGCTAATAGTAGGTGAGAATTATATTGTATTGGAAACAAATTACTTCAAATAATGGATAATATTTTTCGATCAGCACAGAGTTTTACTTCTAAATAAACAATCAATAATAATATTAGTAAAAAACTGTTTTTTGTGATGATTCTTACCAACATCTTATAATCAAAATTATCTTATTTTTGTTTTTTAAGCAACAATAAGCATCGATAGGGGGAGGATTACGTTTAAACAGTCTTTTTTCGTTTTTTTTATTTTCAGTACCTAAATACCTTATTCCTTACTCAGAAAGAATTTTGCTTCCCCTTTTATATTGAACAGTTTGCTGAACGACACAAGATCACAACAAATATAAATTAAGCTTCCACAGAGAAAGTAAACTTTAAATACAAACAAAAGAATAAAATACTGATAAAATGAAATGTCCCTTTTCTACTAGTTTCTCTCAATTTATTTTCGAATCGATCCGAAAAGCTTTTAACGAAAGCCACGGGTCAAAATAAAGTGCCTCGAAAGAAGAGAAAAGAAATCAGCAAAATGTCCGAACTTTCGTGTTTCTGTTACTTGTTTCATTTTGTTCTAGCACAAATTACATGTTTCGGAATGTCTTTTTTTTTAATTCTTAATAGGATTTAATATTTTAGGATATATGTCTCACAGTTTATTAATTCGGCGTCTGCTTCATGAAAATTTTGACGCCTTAATCAGAAAAAAATTTATAATTTCTTCCGTGATATGTGATTGCGTTATGAAAATAATTTGTAGATTGAAAGCAAGTTAAAAAATAGGCACCACAACTTATAAATTATGTTTGGGCAATGCTGCTCGCCTCCGTGACTTTGGTTCACAGGTGCCCACTGGGTAACGCGAAATGAGCAACAATTCTGGCGTAGCATAGGCAAAGATTCAAATTCAGTGCCTGCCATTGGAAAAAAAAAACTTATAAATTATGTTATTATTTCCACTTAATTTTGGTTGTTATAAAATCTCGTTAAATTTGTTTTTTTTTTCTTTTATGAAATTACTTAGCAATTATTCAAAAAGTTATTTGCAATTTTAAAATCATTGTTGCACAATAATTATTTAAATGTTGACCAAAGAATATAGAAAAGAGAAAAAGATCAGCTCCTAAAATATGTAACAATACGACGAAATGCTGGGTCTGGTATACTATGCTAGAAAATCAACTTACAGTTTGAACAACATACTCAAATTTAAGTATGCAGGCACTTTATTTACGTCACAGTACAACTGCACAATGGGCTATCAGCGACGATCTGGGAAACATTCTTGAGGATGAGCCGAAGACATGCCATCGCGATTTTGATCCTCTGCAGAGGGGGTGACTCCCCTGCTTTGGTAGCCCGACGAGCTGCACGCGAAGTCGAGCACTTTACGGTAGAACAGTTTAACGAGGACCGATGCCACACATCCTCGGTACTCGAAGTTAGCTTTGTTGTTGTTCATTTACGTCGCACTAGAGCTACACAATGGGCTATTGGCGACGGTCTGGGAAACATCCCTGAGGATGATCCGAAGACATACCATCATAATTTTGATCCTCTGCAGAGGGGATGGCACCCCCTCTTCGGTAGTCCGACGACCTGCACGCGAAGTCGAGCACTTCAAAGTTAGCAGAGCATCATATATACTAAGATCGGCGCATGCGCATAAGAAGCAAAATGACTGTCAGGAGGTATGCCACCTGTGAATCAGTTGGTTCACAGGTGACGTACCTCTATGGTTGGTACACTGCCTCCCGCAACTCTGGTTGGGTAAGTTGCCTCCCGCACCGGAGATCAGAATTATTGGAGATCGAGAATAATTGGAGATCGAAAAATATTAAAATATTATATACCTAATAAAAAAAAATAATGAACGCTGTTGTAGAGGAGTGTGCGTAAGAGCAAACTTGGATCTTTAACGCAGATTTGGATCAAAATAGGGATCTCTGGATCGGTAGCCGGATACTGTAACCACTATGGAAAATGGTGCAAAGCCCTGACCAGATGAGTTGAGAAGCTATGCTAACAAAATTCGAAGAAATCACAGTTGAGGAAAACAAGTTTGCAAAAGACCAGAACTTGTTTAATTACAGAGAACAGTTAATTTTTCGATATACCTTCAAGATTCAACAATTTTTTTCCAACTGCACCATCGGAACATCACGATTGCTGCACACTCTTCCTTTCTGCATTGCGGCACATAAATTATTTTATAAATAACTTAAAAAATAATTAAATGACCTCAAATTAAAGCATTCCAATTCAGAGCCTAAGAAATACAAACAGAAAAGCGTTATTTGAAGTCAGGATTTCGCCATTTCCTTGTGAGATTTATTTTTATATTCATCTAAACCACTTGAGCCTTCTAAATCTTAAGGATTTTGCTTTGATGCTTATTTGGAAAAAAAAACAAGAAAAAAATACAATTGTTATTTTTTTAAAGGAAACACACACATTTTTATTGTAAACTTTGTTTGAAAATTCTTTTGTTTGCCCAAATACCCTAAGGTTTATTATACATACACGTATTTACATTTATTTTCCTTTTTTTCAGACCTCAATTCCACAGTACGTTATTCACTAGCTGGGAAGTGCTTCTTCAAGAAGTCGAAGTGGACTCCCAGGTAAAAAAAAAAATCCTTTTTTTCTTTCTTCGTATAATTTTCTTTACCATTTGCTTTTTCTTTTTCCTCACCCAGAAATGTTTCCTCTTGCTAACAAAAAATAAATCATTGTATAAAAAGTAATTTTTTTATAACACGGCGGGGGGAAAAATTGACACCAAGAATCGACAACAAAGCATCGGAAACTCTTTCGTATCAATTCACTGCTATTTATTTTTCAGAGAGCATTTGTTTCCGTTGTGACAGCCATTTTTTTCTTTATTCTATAGTTAAGTTGAGTTTTTTTGTTCGCCTTTCTTTACTTGGGAACTAGCTTTTTCAGGCGAAATGCATTTCCATTTATTTTGCATCAGAAAGACTCGGAACTATCTGAAGATTTTAAACTCTTCCGACTAAGTTTTATTAATCGGAACATCAGTGCTACACGTAGTGTTTTCCATTTAATAATAGTGTTGAAAGAAGAAGTCACTTTTAAATAACAAAATAAAAATTTTAAGAATCACATTTTTCCAGTGGAGTAAAAAGAGAGAATAATTCTATTTTTGTCACTATTTAAATGAAAAAAAAGTGCTTTTCCTAAAACTATTATATTAAATGAAAGGAGTTAATTACGAAAGTGTTCAAGTAAAAATCTATAAAAATCTGAAAAATACTATCTTTCTTCCGTGCAGATTCTTAAAATTTTAGAGTTGTGAAACAGGAATTGGAGCCGAGGTTTCGGAATTGAAGAAATTTGACAGGGATTGGGTCCTAAAATTTACTTGAGTCTACCTACAGCTAGCTAAAAGTTAGGACCTGTAGATTAAACGAGAAAGAAATAATTTAATTTTATGGACACTATTTAGTTTCGCTTCAAAAATAATCTTGGGCATAAATTTAGTTTTGACAATGCCAAATATTTCCATCTCATTCACATCAGCTCATCTGGATGTCCTGGAATCTTGCTTTAATCATATGAATACTGATAACCTTGCTAACGACATTAGCCTCTCATCACTTCTTCATAGCACGTGAAAAAGGCATTTTGCCCTAATTTGCACCTCTCGGCCACTGGAAATTTTTTCTTGTTCTGTTTTTTTTAATCTTTTTTATCTCTCGGTTTCTGTGGGGTCTTTTTGTTTTGTTTCCCATCATTATTTTTTCCATTTTTCGTTGGCAACTTCACGCTTTCTTTAATTTCAAATCACTTTTGTTACTTCTTGTTCACGTCAGTTAAGTCTTGAAAATAGACATCTGTATCTGAGTGCTCCCTCTCCGCTACTGATTCCTTTTGGGAGACCGTAAAAACCTACCACTGCAGTATCTATATTAGCATATTTGGTAATTATTAAAAGCAGCACCAATTACTATAGGAACAGTTGTACTAATTACCAAACTTAATTAGGCATAATTGGCATCAATAATAGTATGGCGAATTTCATCCGGCTCCCCTCAACGTATCAGTACCTTTTCTCTATTCAATTTGCTTTGTAGTATACAACTTACTCTTATTTATTTCCAATACCGTTGATTTTAAATTATTTTGTGTTATGGAAACTAAATTTAAAAGCACAACGATAAACAAAATTAGCACGTGGTTTCAGATTGCTTTAGAAATACTAATTCGGTGATGTAGCCCTCACATGCTATCCAAGTTGATTACTGAGTTCGTATAAAATAATTGACCATAAAAAAAAACTCCTAAACTCGAATCGTCCACAGTTTAGCAATGGCTGATTCTAACGAAACATTCATTTTCTAACATCTCTGTCTAACGCACAAATTGAAATTTTTAAATGATTTTTAGGCTTAACTTGTTTCATATGATCGATGTCGAAATTTCAAGGCATTTAAGGTCTTCTAAGACTTCCCTTTCTTTAGCCCTGACTGTAATTAAAAAATCGATTATATTACATAGAGTAAATATACTTGTAGATTAAAGTTGAAAAATTTTCAAAATATAAACTGCGTTTAATTATTCTAAAATGAAATAGTAAAACGAAATAAATTATAAAAACGAACATACTGTTTTTTTTCTGATTTTTCTAATTTATTATATCTTAGCTTTCTCAAGTTTGCCAAACTTACTTTCCCTGAAAGACAGTTAAAATTGTCTAGACATTGCATCCATTATCTAAAATCCAATTTAGTGCTAGACAACCTGGGCATATAAAAGCTGTTCTTTTAGAGCATTTAAAGTTTTCTGTTCTTTTTGATTGAAGAAAAAACATGTAAACCTATTTTAATGCTTCGGTTTTTATTCTTGCTAAACTTATTTATATTTACCCACTCCCCTCCTACATTAGACAACCGTGTTTTAATACACGCGACAATTCTATACACTCAAAAATGTTGAACTTTGGAAATCATGCTCACGCAGAGTGTTTTCGTTATAAAGCTCATGCCTCTATATAACATAAAAAGATAATAGTCTATAACCGTTTTTCACTATTAACAGTGCATTTTTATTGACCAAGAAAAACATATGATAGGATTCATAAAGATTCGGAATTTTTGAGTTGTTAGCAGAATAAAATTAGTAAAAGTTAAGAAGGATATTACTTTCATGTAAAATATTTCGTTACCCCTTATTTAATAGTAACATATAGTTATGCATATTTATCATCCTTTATTAAAAAATAATATGTATATTTATAAATATGCGTAATATAATATATATTTATCGATCTTTATATTACAGTAATATATATATTTACCATCCTTTCATGGCATTATTACTTTTATTTTTTGATTTTTATTATTACTGAAAATGAAAGGCTGAATTTTAAGAGGTGTTACTTTATTATAAAGTCATCCAATGAAATTACACTACTACGCAACAATTTATGATGAACATATTTTAAATTGCCATAAAGTATTAAACAATAAATAAGTTATGTTAATGAATTTTATGAAAAACTATGACTAGGTAACATATTCAATTAAGTTTCTTCTTTTTTCCATTGACCACCTTTTTTATTTTTTGATTAACACTCGTCATTCAGACATTTGCAGGGCAGATTTGTTAACCACTCTTTCAGAGCCACCCTATTAGGTAGGCAAACGCTGCTTCTACAGTGAGGACAGATAGTACAGAGAATGAAAGTACACCCATGCCTTGTCCGGGATTCAAACCAAGAACCTTCCTGATGTGAGGAACCCTCCACTCCCTGACCGTTGTACACAGTCTGGCCGGCGATGCAATTGAAATAATAAATTCTAAATTGTAAAATATTCTTGAAATTTTTTCGCAATATTACTTAATAATCTCTTATTAAGTAAAAATAATCGACGACATTTTACTGTGAATAAATTAAAATCGAAATATAAAAACCAAAATATTTGAAGTTGTGTAACCAAGTAAAAGGAGTAAGTTCAATTTTTTTTCTCAATAGAATCAGTACCTAAATGTGTATGGTCAACTCTTTGATAAAAAAAAGAGATTTTTTATTTAAATAATTTTTCATTTTGATGGTACTATATGTTCATCGTGGTAAAACAAAAGTAACTTGGACCCTATACCTTGCTGGCTGCGCTTTTCCGAACTGTGCCACAACAATCATTTTAATTAAACAAGTTTGGATCACAAAACTTATTATAACTAAGCAAACTAGAACCACAACGCTCGTCATAATTAAGGGCACTTTATTTTAAATAGACTGTAAGCCCGTGTAGAATTTAAAAAAAAAAAGCATCTGAAACTGCAGGTTTTGACCAAAAACTGGAACGCAGCTTAAGAAAAATAAGTGCTGAAAATCACTTCAATTTTTTATTTCCGTACAAAGAAACAGGTTTTGATTATACTCAAATAATCTAAAAAAATAAGTTGTGTTGTACAGAAATTTTTTTGAGCAATTTTTACTACAAATCTCAACATTTACTTTGAAATTCGTTTTATTTAAAAATACTTCTTTTCCAAGAATCAATTAAATAAGCCTCACGATATTATATTTCTTTAACTCTATTTTAAAAAAACCTTTGGTTTAAATTCTATTCATGTATTTTTTATTTTTATTTATCTCTAAAATAAAATTTATTTGACAAGATATTTTTCAAACTCATTTCCCAAACTGTGGTTATCTTTTTTCTTAAACAACTCTACCGCTTTCATCTACAACTCTATCTCTTTCGTCTACGACTCTATCTCTTTCATCTACAACTCTGCTTTAATCACATATTAAATCAAAGGCTTAAAAGAAATTATATCTCTAGAGGAGTTTTCTTGTCAGTTATTAACTTTTCAGACTTGAGCGTTCTTTATTTTCAAATTGACTTGTCATTGAATATAATTGGATTCCTTAACCTTTCGAAATTTTAATATCTATATAAAATTCTCGATTTAATTCAACTGGGGATATAAGAATATATAAAGATGTTTTATGTTTAGTCAATTATCTTATATTTACATAGTTTTTATCTATTATATTTTCAAAACTATATTTTTTAATTACTGTGTTTTAAAATTTAAAAAAAAATTATTAAATTTATAATGGATTTTATGGATTCTACTCTTGCATTTCCATGTTCTTATACTCGCATCATGTATGCGCATAAAATATTTCAATTACTTTAGATTTAAAATTAAGAAGTAATGGTTATTTGACTATTTCACAGATATTGTGTTAATCAAAAGTTTTATTCACGAAAAATTCACAAACTACTAATGAACAAACTTATGATTCCTTCAACTATTACTTTTATGAAATTTAACTAAGCTACTCATCGCGATAATATCGATAACATATTTCTAATGACTAAAGTCATTTGAATCATTGGATTTGAGACCAATGATCCCAAACTCCTCCAATTGCTTATTGATCTGTTTTACTTTTAATTCAGCCGGCCAGGTGGCAGAGCTATTCGCGTACCAATGGTTGCGGGTTTGAATCAGAAAGTTTTGTTATGTCATTGGAAACAAGGGCTGAAAACTTCATTACTCTCCCCTGTACGCATAGACATTTTTAGAAAGGAAATTGGGGGATTTGTCGAACATTTATACAGACAAGTGAGGTCTTTTTTTACGCTGACTCGAATGAGACCAATCGCTTGACGTTCGGTCAAATACTTTAGAAGTTATGATAATTTTATGTACGAAACAGTACAATTTTGCATCTGCACCTGCTTATGCATCTGAAATTGCTAGCCATACAAGTGAGGCAGATTCTTGTGTATTTGTCACATTGAATTGAATGAGATATATACGAGTCAATGGAATGAATAGCTCAAACGATAAATATATATATACATACATATATATATATAAATATATAATGAATATTTGTA